GTTTTTATAAGACACTTTCAACTTTTTAAGCCTTACTTTTCAGCCTGAGTTCTCTGCTCTTCAGCCAGGGCCTATCTACAGGGTGGCTCCACTGGGAAGGGGAGTAGTGTTTCTGTACTATTGTATTAATAGATTGTGACTAATATTTTAATCTACTTTTTAATAAACATTTAATATTTATACTGATAGATAGATAGATTGATTGATTGATAGACAGATACAAAGATAGATTCTGCACTTCTCTCCTAACATCCTAATAGGCAGCATTGGGGAGGAGCCAGGATTTCAATAAAGCTGTTAAGATTTGCTACAGATAACCTTCTTCACCTTAAAACCGTACAGTTCAAGAGAGAGTGTTAGTGAGGATGATAATAATGATAGTAGTAATTACAACAGCTAACATCCAGGCTTTATTTTATGCCTGGCACTGTGCTAAGTATTTTTCTTGTTTAATCCTTTCAACAACCCTATTGTTCCTGTGCATATTAAGAAATTGTAAGGGAAAGAGGTTGAGTATTTGCTAAAGTTTATGCAGCTACTAGGTGCCATAGTTGGGGGTAGCAAAAAGGCAAGAATTACTGCATAGTGTCTCTTTTTCTTTTGTATATTTGAAAATCCAAGACAACCTTGAAGTTACTACCCAGCCTCCGTTGGCCCTTTATCCCAGCCCCTCCCCCCACATTCTGTGATCAAACCCCCTCCACAGCTGGCTGTGGGTGGAGTAAACTTCTTTGAAAGTGTTTTTTCCTCATTCCCAGAATTGTTCAAGCATGAGATAGACATGTTATTTTCAACCATTCTTTTCAGCCAGACCACACCACGGTTGATTTGATGTTTTAAATGAATCCATATTGCTATGTGATCCGTTTGAAGTAATTATAACTATTGTTCATTCAAATGTGGCTACTGCACAAGAAAATTCTTCTATAGAGGCATAAACAAATAATACTGGTAAAATCAAACATTGGTCCCCTGCTTCTCCAATGCCACCCCACGGTGCACTCATTTTTGAGCACCAATGGGCCAGATCAGTGGCTTACAACTTGTTTGATTTTACATTCCTGCTAGTTAAAACAGTTCTAGCTACACCACCAAGATATGTACCTTTATTGATATACAAATGATAACACAATAATAACTTATTGAATGATTGCTGTATGCATTCTCTATTCTAAGAACTTTGTAAGATAGATACATGTGTTACTTCATAGCAGTTCTATGTATTATCACCATTCTACAGATAAAGACATTGAGACATGACATGTTGACTAACTTGCCCAAGGCCATTCAACTAGCTAGTGACAGAAATGAGGTTGAACCAGGAGGCCTGATTCCCGAGTCTGTGTTCTGATCTACTGCGTCACAGCTGCTTCTACACATGCTATGCTACTATACGTTATATGGTTTATGAAATATATAAAAAATATAATTTTTAAAAGAATGAGGTGCATATTGCTAATGTTGAAGTTCCCATACTTTTGTCCTCTGCCCACAATGAGTCATCTAGAACACCTCTGGGATGCATGTAGCCTCCTTCAGAGATCACCTTGGGGTCTCTTATAGGAGAAATTCCAACTTCTGCCCGCAGTGGCCTTAATGTCCTTTTCCACCTTTGGATTCTGTGACGTGGAGTCCCTCCTGCAGTTCGGTCTATCCATCCATTAGTTCAGGCCACTTTCCTCCCTACCTTCTGCTGCCCGGATAGCCTGGGCTTTCCCAGTGACACCCAGCCAGGGTGAACAAAGCCCTCCTGGCAGTCCCTCATGTCCCTTTGTCCTCAAACCTAAATTTGCCAGTCCTCTCACATCAGGAAGCTGCTAGGTAATGCACGAGCCCAACGGAAAAATTAATTTCAGCATCCACATGACTTCCTCCCTTTTCATCTATAGTCTTTGATTGAGTGTTACATTCCTGTGAAAGCCTCTCTGAC